ACTAATGTGGGGTGCAGCGATCTTCAAATACTTAGCCGAGATGTTGTCTGCACCTGAGTGGCCTTACTGGGGTTTATTGTCTTCAGAGCCATATACACATCTGAATCCAATAAAGGTTTAAACTAAACATGTAAATGTAAAATGCTCATTATTTTATGATGAGATAATTAAATGGAGCTAAATAATGGAACCAGCAAAACACTAAATCTGAAAAAAAATGCAGTGGTAAATATGAGCCTGGATCACCTTTAGATGCTCTTGATTTTATAAGTATTCATATGGAACATATTGCTATGTGTGGGATTTAATTGTACATAACTTACATATTGTGTTAGTCAAATAACAATTTTTTGTAGGTAATAATACATTATACTCTGTATTCATGCTCTGTCACAATACAAGCTAAATCACTATCCACCAAGAAGAAAATCTGTATCCCACTTGTAACTCCTGCTTTGACTGAATCTTTAATGCTCTCAGGTTGCAGAACGGGATTTTGTGTTTTTGTCACATTAGTTTCCTTTACAATTGATTTGATGCTTGCTAAACCCCCTTATTCAGAAGATTTTCTAGAAACGTTTGTTGGGTTGGATATGGTATTTCTAGAAGCAAACCTCTTCAAATGTATAAACATTAACAATATAAGCTTTAAAACAAAGAGGTTAGATTAAATATGACCAATGCTTACAACTTTCTCGTCCTGTAATAGGGAAGCCATTCAGTCCCTTGAAAAAGAAAATGAAGAGCTGATGAAAGATAATACTTTAGCAGGAAGTTTGCAGAACCAGAGCCAGGTAATTCAGCAGCCATGTTTAATTTTTCATTTACTGCACCTATAATTTAGAATAGGGAGTTAAGAGTTTCAGTACTTACCACTTTAAAACCTAAACAGAATAACTTTTCATCTGCCATTTTCCTAGCTGTGTGAAATTTTATTATGGATGGAGTAATAGTTTATGTGAGAACCTCAAACTCAGTTAGGCAGAGGTATTGTTTATCCTCTTATAAGAGACTCAAATTACTTATTTCAATTGCTTTCTTTACACCTAGGATAGAACAAATACAGACAAACTAAACAGCCTTTTAAGCAAAGAAGGTAATTAAATTGCTGTTTATTATTATGTAGTTTATTGTGGTGTTTCAAAGGAGAGTTGTGCTCCATAAGCCAGACAATTTTTATCTCTGCCTTTCATCCATCTCTTGGTGATCAGTTTGAACAATTAAGAGCTACACAAAAACTCAAATATTTAGTTTTTTGTAACAACTGATGAAAACATCAGCTGTTATATTTGTCCCACATTTTGGTTAATTGCGACCCCTCAAAACAATGTCAGGCATAGGTGGCCTGGTTACTGATTTGTTTTTGAAATGTTGATAATTCCTAAGTTGAGTTATAAATGCATTTTAAGGAGGCTCCATAGGGTTTTTTGACCACACGAGATCTGAGTGCAAACAAAGCGTGAGCTTTAAAAGTGTTAACATGCAAAACAAACATGGCAACAAAGAAAATAAGGATCTTTTGAGTCAGATTTATCTTGTTTCTATTGGTGCAATTTCCTAAGATTTGCTGGACCATTAAACATATTTGTGCCCTCCCTAGTGCTTGTTGATAAAAAAATTCATAAGACCAAATTTGAGGTAGAGGAAGAAAACACAAAATTGCAAATAGCAAGGAAACTACCTTTGTAACCCCTATTTTTTTCCGCTTTTAAATGATAGGCAGAGCAAATTTTCATTAATTGTGAAAATTTTGAGAGATTTAACCAAAGCAAATTGAAGAAAATCAAAGGTAAATTATCACTGGTGAGTGCTTCCCTTTGAGGAGCCTTAGCTTAATAACAAAAATCATTTTGATAATATTTACTACAGTAAATGATAGTCCAAACCTTGCTGATCGCCCTTTCGATGGCTTCTAGTGACCTAAAAAAAGCAAAAACAAAAAAATTAAAAATAAAAATTGGTGTGTGTGCCAACATTGAACAAAAACCCCATGGAGCCTCCTTAAGACACTTTTTTGAAAGTTTGTATTCAAGAACTTTTTGCAATATCAAACAGAGGACTACTCTGACAATCTGACATCAGACTACTCAATATACTATTAATAATGTTAATATATACATGAAATATTAAAAAAAGATTGGTTTGAGAATTATTTCAATAAAAGGAATTTTGTTGTACATTTTAGATGATATCAAGTTGCAGCTTGATGAGGTGAATGATGACATAAAGAGACTTGATGATCAGGTAAGAATTGTGTG